CTCTTCCAACAGTTGCACAGACGTCCCTGCCTGCATCCGAGTCCAATCAGCTGCCCCCACAGGGCGAGAAAAATGAGCCATTATCACCCAACACGACCCCTCAGCCCATCCAGACCTCCAAGCCAACAGTGGTGACTGCCACCGTCAAGCACACGCCCAAGGGTGGCAAGGAGTCTGTGGCCCCCGTTGGGCCCACCCCCAAGGGTGGCAAGGAGTCTGTGGCCCCCGTTGGGCCCACCCCCAAGGGTGACAAGGAGTCTGTGGCCCCTGTTGAGCCTGCCCCCAAGGGCGATGAGCAATCTTCAGACCCTGCTGAGTCTGTCCCTAGTCCACACCTGCCCAGGAAGCTGTCCCCCACGGAGGAGCTGGAGGAACCAGAGGAGGATGGGAAGATTGACAAAATCTCTCCTCCCAGCGGGGAGAAGAAGGACAGTGTCCCCATTGCCCCCAAAGACCCGTCTGAGAGCAGCCACTTCTTCGCTTACCTGGTGACCACAGCCATTATCGTCGCTGTCTTGTACATTGCCTATCACAACAAACGGAAGGTGAGATCTTTGGCCCACCAAAAATACAGAGCTGGCTTCATCTCTTCTCTCTTGAGGCTTGTTCAGTGCAGGGATCTGGAGAGCCTGTGTTTTGATCTTTGGATTGGTGCAGCTCCTGGCTGGGACCTGTGTCTCTGTACATTCTTGCCTGATCCCAGTTACGTGTGTGTTTTGGATGCACGTGTTATGTATGGTAGTGTAAGAGTGATGTAGCCATGATAGTCCAGGTGTTAGGCAAGAGGCAGGGATTTCTTAGGGCACTGTCTTTTATCGGACCAGCTGTGTAGCCGGGGTAGAGTTAGACACGCTTTTGGATTCCAGACCTTCTTTAGATCTGACCAGAACAAATCTGCTAGTTCTTGATTGTGTGAGGTAAAGTCTGGAATATCTATCAAAATTTTCCAAAGTGTGTTACTGTTTTGGGATTGTCTGGTGCAGGGAAGGAACTCTTCAGTAAACTGGTCTGTCTTGATTTCTCTGCCTGGCTTTAGCTTCTTGATGTGCTTGGGAGGGTGAAAACCATTGACTTGTGGCTTTGACTAGCTCTACAGTCCTTGTCCGAGCTGCTGTGAGGTGAGCAATGAGGAAGTTGTGCCTGGGGAAGTGTTTTAGACACCTGTGAAAATTGCATGGCTTCAGCTAGGCGGCTTAGTGCTGGGGAGGCGGGGAACAAGGTGGGGTAACTGCTAAGATGTTTTATGTATTTACCTACTCCTTCATAGTAGGTGAAAGTTCCTCTTGGGTGCTGAGAATTTGCCAAGTGGTGACCTGCAATATGGTGCTTTCTGGTGCACAAGGCAAATGAAAGAGTTAGACGAGCCAAAGGTAATTGCTCATTGGGTTGTTGTAAAGAGACCTTTACCCATGTTTAACTTTCAACTAGCAACTTGATCAGTGCAGAACAGGGGTGCCTGCCTCTTCCTGTCATGTGTGCATTTGATCCTGAGACTCTAGTTCAAAGATAAAGACTCGAAGGGATATTATATAGTTGATAGGGTTTCCTGGGTTAGGTGTGGACTGTCCGTTTATCCTTGGCAAAGTAAGAGAAACAAACTAACTAGATTTTTTTTAATATGCTTGAGGTGCTTGCTGTTGCTGTTTGGGTCCGTGATGTTTGGTGCCTTGCGGTGACAACAGCAGCATCTTCCTAGTCCTCTCCTAGTCCTCTCCTATACTAGCGTACTCCTATACTATGCTATTTAGGATTTGTTAGGAAATAATCATTTGGAAGGAATATGGGTGAAAGGAAGAAGCTGAATTTATAACGATCCTTCCTATAGACGTGCATCTTTTCTTGAGGTAGTGTCATTCTGGAGAAGCCACATGGTAATTTCTGCATGATGGCAAGACTTCACTGGTAGTTCTTTATGCTCTTAATTGTCTGTGAAGTTTACTTGGAGACTGCGTTTAATTGGGAGCTAGAAGAATACAACTAGTCTTTGCCTCTGATAGAATGGTTTGCTGCCTCACCCATGGAAGATAGAAGTAGAAGTGTCTCTTCAAAGTGGAGAAAATAATTCCTTACACTGTGCTGTTATGGGTGTTTTTTTGTTGTTGTCAGCCCCCATCAGTTAACATCTGTTGCCCACTGATGGATTTATCCTTTTGGGTGTGTTTCTCTCCCTCTCTCTCAAGATCATTGCTTTTGCTCTGGAAGGAAAAAGATCCAAAATAGCCCGACGCCCCAAATCTGGTGATTATCAGAGACTGGATCAAAAGGTAAGCCTCAGTTGGCCTCCACTTCTTAACACAGGGGCGAGCAAAATACGGCCTGCAGGTCATATTCAGCCCACCAGGCCATTCTATCCAGCCCGTGGGGCCCCTAGAAAATTAATATTTATATGCCCCTGGCTCCTGTCAAAGATGACAGGAACCAGGGGCAGTAGGACCCAGGGGAAGGCATGGCAGGATCCTGCAACAGCAGGGCCCACCTGGTCCCACCCCCCAGGTGGAAGCCTCTGCTAACAGGGTAAGTTCAGGCAAGAAGTGGGGGCGGAGGGGGAGGACTGCAAGGCTTGCATGTAGTGCCATGTTCTTTACAATGTGAGAGGCTGTTCTATGCTCACAAGCAACTGATTGACATTTTCTTCCCTTTCTGTTTGCAGATATAAATCTGTTCCCTTGGAAATTCTGCATGTTGCTGGGCTGAGCAAGGATGCCAGAATGCAATGGCCAAGGAAGTGCTGCAACTCCCAGCAGCAAGGCTCCAGCCCTCCCAGCCACACTGCCATGTCTTGATCTCAGAGGGGGTGGGGGGAGCAGGGAAAGTGCTTTTAGTTTTTTGCACCTGCACTTTGGTCATGTTAATGCTTCACTCTCCATCTTTTTGGATTCCCCTCCATTCCTCCCCCCGACCCCTTCACAGCTGCCTGAAACTGAGCTAGTTTTCCAGCTCTGGTTTCTTGCTTCCATTCTGTGACAAAGGAAAAAAACCAAGGGAAGATGCAGCAAGGGACAGAATTTCTTTTGCACCTACACAATGTGGAACTGACTTCCTACTGTATGGACACAAAGGTCTCTGGCAGAGGCCTGCCTGCTGAATGAGCCATCTCAGTCTCTCTCTTCTTGGTCCATGGCGCTGTCTTTTGTACCGGCATGGTTGGTCTTGACAAATGAACGTTATCCCCTTGTGTCCAATGTGGGTGGACGCTAAAATTCCTAGCCTAATTGCACTAGTTCCAAAAATGTTTGCCAAGGACTCTTTTGTCTGATTGGTCTCTTGATTCTCTGTGAGGACGACAGGGGTGGGGATAACATGATTGTCTTCGTACCCATGTTAGAGGTAACAGTGGAGTCAGCGCCTCATGCCTCTTCTGACCCCTTTTGGGTTTTTTTTCCTGTCTTCAGGTTTCCTGATGGTATTTCTCCTCCTGGGCTCCCCAAAGCTTAGGAGACTGCACTGAAGACAAAGCGCTGAGGTGGGATGTGGTTAGGGAATGCCACAGATGCATGCATAGCTTGGTGCCAAATCTCCTTAGCAAGGTTTTACTCAGCTTTGTCTCTGCATGTGAATGCCTGCCTCTGAAATGTCACTTGAATGTAAGGGTTATGTGGACTCAAGTAGCTTCAGTGCTGGCAAGTAGCTGATACGCCTTTCCTGAAAGAGCGGAGTCTGAGCCCTGAATTTTCAGCCTGGGTTGTTCTAGTTGGCACTGGGTGGACTTGTATTGATCAGAGCTCAGCATAGTGAGATTGGTGCGAATTGAATGTCTGCGTGCAGGGTCTAGCTTTCAGCGTTTCTCCATTCAAGCACAGAACAGATGTTGAGAGGATGGGGTTGGTGGATGGCTGCTGACCATGGATGCATTGCACATGCATTTTGTGCATGCAAGTGGTAGTGTTGGAACTTGACTCCCTTAGGCAGGTGACTGAACTGTTGGTTGCTGCAGGAGGTCATATGATGCAGCCAGAGGTGCCCTACCCTGCCTGCTCTGCCATAGACTTGGCAAACCTGGTGTCACTCAGTGCACAGCTGATTTGTTCAGAATAAATGGGAGGGCATCCTGGCTAGTGCAGAAAGATTTCCTTCCAAGTGGGTGGGCAATAGAGGAAAAAGGGATTAGTTGATAGGATCGCTTCCAGCCATCAGGTTGACAGGTCTCCCCTTCCCCTTGCTTTTGCTCCCGCCTCACTTCACTTTGTTTGTAGCTGAACATGTCTTAAAACAGTCTGGTCCATGCAGAGCTGATTTCCTTGACACTGTGGACCACATAGACTTATTGCTTGTGGAAACCAATGGCTGGTACAGGCTGGCATTGCTGATTTTGTATTGTGAGGTATGGGGACGGGTTATTATCTTCCAAAGGACAGTGTGTTTGTAAAGCCTGTATGGGAGCAGGATAGCTGGCTAGTGGGGTTGAGTGGCATATCTTGCTTCTCTCATGGGCAGAAACCATTACAGTAGCTTGTACAGGAGAAGTCTGAGTAAACAGCCACTCCTAGAATAGATGCTGACTGCGTCCTCGCTCCATACACTCTTCAACTGATGGAAGCCCAGGAAGAATCTCATCTCGCTTATGTTATCTTTGCTTGACTCGAGCCAAAGACGGCTTGTGAAGTCACCTTCTGTGTCGTCAGCTCTTCCCTCCTGCAGATCTAGGTCAGTAGATGTAGGAGTACTTGGTGATCTCCTTGTGCAGACGAGGTTTCAACCCACAAAAATGGTAAATGCCAGACTTCAGTTTATTTCTCTTTACAAGCTACTTTCTTTTGCTGAAAACATAGTCACACAATAAGGGGAGAGAATCCCTCTTGTTTTAAAATGTATCTGGAAGGTGCTGCAGTGAAGGTTGCTTTCAGATTCTGAGCTCTGAGATGAGAAGACCCCACTGGGGCAGGGCAGAAAAGCCAGGTCCTAGAATAGAACTTCAGAAGGAAGTGTGGCATCTCCACGGAGGAGAGCTTGCATGCATGCAGCACGCCTGCTAGCTATTGCAAAGGTAGTGCATGGCACATTTGAGGCAGATGGCAGGAAGCTGTGCCCACCACCCACTTCGGTCAATGAGGCAGAGTTGGAGGCAATGCTTGAATTTCTATTTATGCTCAAGACCTCTTGGAGGATGTGATAAGTTGCACAGTTTGGATCCCATTTCCCAGCTTCCTTGGGAATCGTGGGGGGTGGCTTTGGATTCCCCCCCCCCCTTGTTTCTGTTGCAGTTTTCAATCGGGAAATGTTTTAGAGGACTTGAACCAAACCAGTTTGTTGGGGAAATCTGAGGCCTCCCCAACCTCTGTCTCTTCACTGACTTGAATTAAAAAAGAAACTTTTCAGTTTGCTTGGGGAAACACAATACCACAGAACCTGGCTACTCAGGAGCCCACAGGGAGACAAGCTCAGTCTCTCTCCTCTGCTTGGGCACTGCCTGTGATACAATCTGATAGGTGCAAAGATTTAAATTCTTGATATAAAGAATTAAAATACAGGGAAATTTTTCCTTTTTTTTTCCTTCTCCTGTTGGTCATGGGGCTGTCTCAAAGAGTAGCTTGCCATGTGATGAGCACAAAGTCCAATGAACAGAAATGCACATGGTACAATGAATGCAAACTTCACAGGGTGGTAAGGGCATCACCTGGCTCATTCACAACCCCTTGAAATATGGATCTCTGGCCTCACTACTTCACGCTTGTGAAAGCAACTGTTCAACTGCAGTGCTGTCGTTTAACATGTAAATGGAAAGAACAGCTGGTGAGGCTGAATTGTAATGCTTCTATCTGTAAAGTCTGAAGTGTGCAAGACTTTCAGTGGCTGTCACTATAATTGGGATCTTGGAATGATTTCCATGTTGTGTTGATCTTTATGGTAATGCTCTCCTATGTAAGATGAGATGATCCACAAATATCAAAGAGGTATATTGGATATTCCTATGATGCAGCTTTGTAACAGCATCTGCTGGAGACCCCTTTCTTGCCAAACACTGTTACCACAGTGTTGGGCCAGTGACCTTCCTGGGTTGAACCTATGATTTGTTTGGTTTCTGCTGCAAAGTCAGTTTTGCTTTGAAGAATCAGAATTTTATATTCCTTTGTAACTTTTCCCCCCCCCTGTGTGGTGAAATCAATGAATGGATCCAATAAAGAAATGTGATTTGATCTTGTGGTTTGCTGCCTGCCTCTCTCTTTTAAAATAGTATAGCAATAAGCTTGGCTGGGTTTGTGTGTTTGAGTGCTTGGCTAGAGGTTGCTGATAAGGTATTCCCTACCTACCTTTAACACCAAGTGATTGTGAAGGTGGTTTTGATGCCTTTTTATTATGTAAAATCTGTATCTTCTGAGTCCCCAGTAATGTGAAGGGCTTGCTGGGTGCAGCTTCCATTTTAAAAGTCTATGGTTTGATATGAAGTCAAGCAGAGCTTTTGATTCTCATCCTCTGAACCCACCTCTCACTCTTCTCTTATAAGGCTCTGCCCTGAGAACCCCCTGAACCAAGTCACACGTTTGCTGTTTCTACCACAGCTCCACCCTAAATGCTTGTGCCAGTCTGTGCACATCTTAAAGCCAACTGCTTTAAAATGGAAATGCTGTTGCAGTCTCAGTCATAGTGCACTTGTACACTGCTGCATGCTGTAGGTCACGGGTGGCCAATCAACAGCATGTGCTACAAGTGATACCAGAAACTTGTGTGGCAGGCAGCAGATCAGGCAGGGAGTGGAAACTAGGGCAGTATGCTGGGAGTGAGGACTAGAGTAGCACTTTAGGGTACAGAGCATGCCTGTCAAGGCATCACCTGCTGTTCTAGTTGATGATCTCTTAAATAAAATTTGAATGCCAGAGCTCAACCTCCTGCACGCACCTCCTATTTACTTACTGTAATCCGTTAGTGCTTGGTGGAAACAATGGTGCTAAATAGATTTGTCTGGTATCTTGTCACTTTGGTCTTTTACTTGCAAGAGTGCCTAGGGAGGGTGGAGCAGACATGGGGCTTAGCTTTGCTTTTTTTGTGGAAACAGCTTTGCTGCATCAACACGTTGGACTGACAAGTAAAGGCTTGTAGTGCTGCTTTGACCATGGATGAACCTGTTACGATGGGGAGTAAGCATGTTATGCTCACCGGGGTTTTGCGCCTTGTCCCATAGCTCACCTACACAGTTCTTCTCACCGCCATGGTCTGAGCTATAGATAATAGGTAGGCCAGTGGTTTTCAGCCTTGCTGGATTACAGCGCACCCCTTGGAAAATGCCAGCTCTGCTTTTACTGTTTCTGACTACAGAGAAACAGCAGAGCAATTCTTCTGTTGCAGAGAACTTGGCCCACAATGTGACAGAATGGCTTTAACACAGTGGGTTCCTATTTGAAATCTTGGCATTTATCGCATGAATTGTGTTTGCACACCTAGCAGTGCTAACACTGCACGGCAGGCTCCAACACCCCTGAAAGGCTCTCAAGACCCTTAGTTGAGAACCATTGAGCTAAGCAAACCAGTCCCCGTGGGTGGACTAGTTGAGGTTTTGCAAACTCAAATGAAAAGCTTGTGCTCAGATTTAATGCACCCTCGCTGGGAACTGCTTGTCTGCTGCCTGCCTGCACCCACAGAAGCCTGACCTCTCTCAGGCTGGAGTAGGGGTTCTCAACCTTTGCAGGCTCTCAGCACCTCAGCTCCACTCTATTCAAAGGCGGTGGCATTCCTGGATGAGCACTGCCACTGGTGCTGCCTTAGCTTACCTTGCTGCTTTCCAGCTGGGTTCTGCTGCTTCCAAGTGCTCTGCTCCCCTGCAGTTGTCTCTGTGCTCTGCTTCTTGGTCTGACACCACCTATGCTTTAGGAAACACAAGCTGATGGGACTGTTCCCCCCCCAACAGCAGCTGTTCTCAGGAGGGACGGGACCAGGAGGCAATGCATGGTACCAGGTAGCTTTGTTGCCTTTTTTAGGCTGATGAGAGTCCTAATGCAGGGGGAGCACATGGAGCAGTTTTACCTGGTGGCTGCTGTGGCACCCCTAGGAGGGCCTCTGGGCACCCCAGAGTGCTGCAACACCCCAGTTGAGATGCACTGGTTTAGAGCCTCCGGGTATCCCTCCTTGCTTGCGTGTTCTTTGGGGGCATATACAATTCAAATCGGGCTCCTCTAATGAGCTGGCAGTCTAACCAAGGCTGGAAAGGGCCTTGTCTGTCCAAAAGATAGCAAAGCAGTGCTTCCTGATGGCACTGAACAGCCGGGGCAGGACAGTGCAGTGCAGTGCAGTGCTCTGTAGATGTCCCCACTCCTGCTTGTGAGGTTTGGTTCAGATGGGGTTGGTCTGTGCTGCAGCTGGCAGTATGACCTGATTTGAGATCCCTTCCAGCCCTGTATTATTTTTATGGCCATATAATCCTCTGTTTCCTGTTACAAATCGCAAAGCCAACTCCCCTTGGATCCAACCTCTTGCCCCATTCTACCCACACACTTAACTAGTGCAAACAAAGCCTGGAGATAGCAAAGTTCAAACTTTATTAAAGCTTCCTGTCATGGTAGAGGGCATGGAGCCTAGGAAGGAAGGTGATGACATTGTCCCTGCCTGGGGGAGAGTGCAGGGATGGTGTGTGAAAATAAAGCTAAAATAAAACATTAAAGCAAAGTACTGCCTTTGTTTTAAGGGTGCCAGCTACCGTCTTCTTTCTCTGAGCACTTGGTTGTGGAAGCCACCGGGTAAGAGAAGTCTTTAGCATTGATGGTTGTGTCTATAGCTGCTGAGTGCATCTGCTGCAATGGCAGTTCCCTGAGATAGCCAAGCTGTGCGCACCATGCACTTTGCCAGCTCTTGATGGCATCAATGGAACTGCACAGAGAAACCCTGTGGAGTCAGGGAGGGCACAGACTTAGTGACCATAGAAACCTTTGCTAAACACAAATAGCCTATCATGGAGCAAAGGTTTCTGGAGCTTAGCAGGGCCCAGAGCCCCTTGGCCTTGTTGATACGTGGATGTTCAAACTGGTGGCTGTTAAGCACACCACAGACAGAGGGACTGGAGGTGAGTGGGACACCCTGGAGTGGCTTCCCGCTGCAATTCTGGGTTCAGAGTAAGGTCAGAGCATGCTCAGGGAGGGGCTCTGCTGTGCCATACTGGAAATCTGTCCTGTGTCCTTCACCACGTAAGATCAAGGCACCTTAGCTGCATCCTAGGAATGCCTGCACCAAACATACTCCATACAATCTCCCTGGGGCTCTGGACCAGCCTGCCAATTTGTGAGCCAATCCAGTCATGTAAAGCGGATTTTAGAGGTCTGAGCTTTTGTGTTGGAACAGCAATATTGCCGCATCTTAACTGAGTGCAGCTAAAATGCTGCCTTATGATGGACCTACCCCAACCCAAGGCAATTTCTGAAGGAAAGCCATTGCTATTGGCCACATAGCAGTGGAGGGTATGGGGTTTTTATGTGCCTGTCCAAAACCAAGATCCTTCCACAGTCTTTGCAAGCTGAATACAATCAAACTGACAACAGGCTGAACTTACAGAGAGGGGAAGGCCTGCTCGGTGCTTCAGGATGCAGCTCCAGGGATCTCTGTTCAATTCCTTCCTCTGCTGCAGATTACTTGCAAGATCTTGGGCAAATTTCCTCGTCACTTTGCTTCAGTTTTCCAGCCGTAACGTGGAGATAAGAGGCGGGTACTGACGAGGTACATTCTTGTCAGCTGCCATGGCAAGAGGTGCCAGAGAGGCAGCATGAGTGGAGGCTGTTCCCCCAACATTAGGATGCATGGTTTAGGTGTGTGCTAAGGTAACTGGGCAGATTCTGGTATTGGAGTTAGCGTGGGTATCTTCTCATGGTACAGCATAGAGATGTCTGCAGATTAGGTACAGCAGCAGAGGGAAATAATGCTGTAGGCAGGCATAGAAAATCTAATCAGTTCTGCTCTGCCACAACCAGAGAACAGCCCAGCAGTGGTCCTTTGCAGGCTTTCTGGAGTCTCCAGCTGGAAAGATCAGAGCATGTATCAGCACATTTCCAGACCTGTTCTTCCTCTTCCAAGTGAGAGTTATTCAAATGGCTTTGGCACAGCTGGCTGGTTTCCACCGCAGGGGTGCTGGGGTCCTTGCTCTCAGAGTGTTGTTTAACCTGCAGTTCACCTTGTGTAGGAGGCAGAAGGTGGCTGGGCCAGAGCAGTCACAGGCTGCCTGCTGCCTCCGCAGCATGCTGGGAGAAGGGGAACACCTCATGCACCATGTTGGTGACGAAGCAGGGCATCTCCTTGCTGCCCTTGTAAGTCCCCCGGGCCTCGCAGTAGAAAGCCACCTTCCAGTTAATGCGGGTCAGCAGGCGTGCCAGCTCGAGGTGCCTCTCTTCACCCTCCAGGAGCTCTAGCAGGGCCTGCAGGAACATGGACCCGGCTGGGTTGAGGAAAGCACTGTAGCCTGGAGAGAGCCGAGAAAGGACACACAGTCAGCCTGCATGGGTGGAAATTCCCAGGGCACCTGCTTTGCTTGGAGTTGCAGTGGCAGGTGAAGGGGCCTTGCTTGGGTCAGGGCATGGGGCTGAAGTGGACCCACCTGCTTGCTGATATGTGGCTCTATGCTGATTTGGGGAGAGGCTCCCTCTAGATCAGGCTTGTGCTGCATGCTCTCTGGGTATCAACCCTAGGGATTTCCCCATCATGCCCTTGGATATTCCCACTAATCCCTGGGAACAGCTGGCTGCTGGGGCTGCTACCTCTGCCCTTGCTCTGTCCCTCCACCAGCATGTGGTGGGAAAGCAGCTCTTAGAGGGACAGTGCAGCTGGTTTCGTGGCCTTCTGCAGCAGAACTGAATGCTGTGGGGAAGCAGGGGAGAAAGACCTCTAGCAGCAGCCCCCCCACCCATCACCCACTAAAAGCCAGAGGCCCCTCACCCCAGGGACTAGCATTGGGCGTCTCCTCAGGGTGATGTTGTGGGGGTGCTCTGTGGGCCTCGGGGCGGTTTGTCCTTTGCAGGGCACCGTGCTGGAGAGTGAAATGCTTTTCATAGTTTCATCACTGGTAGGGTCGGAAGGGACCTGAGCAGATCATCAAGTCCGACCCCCTGCCATGGCAGGAAAGAGTACTGGGGTCAAACGACCCCGGCGAGGTGTTCATCCAGCCTCCTCTGAAAGACCCCCAGGGTAGGAGCCAGCACCATTTCTCTTGGAAGTTGGTTCCAGATCCTAGCCGCCCTGACAGTGAAGTAGCGCCTCCTGATGTCTAGTCTGAATCTACCCTCTGCCAGCTTGTGACCGTTATTTCTTGTCACTGCTGGTAGTGCTTGGGGGAACAGGGACTCCCCCAATGCCTGCTGGTCCCCCCTGACTAGTTTGTAAACGGCCACTAGGTCCCCCCTCAGCCTTCTCTTGTGGAGGATGAACAGGTTCAGGTCCCGTAGCCTCTCCTCGTAGGGCCTACCCTGCTGCCCCCTGATCATGCAGGTGGCGCTCCTCTGAACCCTCTCCATGTTGGCCACCTCCCTCCTGAAGTGCGGCGCCCAGAACTGGATGCAGTACTCCAGCTGTGGCCTGACCAGTGCCGCATAGAGGGGGAGGATCACCTCCTTGGACCTGCTCGAGATGCATCTGTGGATGCATGACAAGGTGCAATTGGCCTTCCTGACCGCGCCCCTACACTGTCGGCCCATGTTCATTTTGGCATCAGTAACGACTCCAAGATCTTTTTCTGCCTCTGCACTGATGAGAAGGGAGTTCCCCAGCCTGTAGGTCTGCTGCTGGTTCTTCCTCCCCAGGTGCAGCACCTTGCACTTGTCAGTGTTGAAACCCATCCTGTTCTCATCCGCCCACCCCTGTAACCTGTCTGGGTCCGATTGCAGCCTGTTCCTCCCTTCTAGCATGCCCACATCCCCCACACCTTAGCGTCATCAGCAAATTTGAACAGGGTGCTTTTTACCCCCTTGTCCAAGTCGCTGATGAAGATGTTGAACAGTGCTTTTCCAAGCCTGTTCTCTCTGCACGTCCCTGCACTGGCTCCCCCTTCTCCCCCACATCTGGCCTGTCAGGCAAATCCCCTGCATCCGCCTGCCCCTTAGATTTTCAGGCTCATGCTTCTTCCTGTGCTGCTTCTTGGGCTTGGGAGGAGCTCCCTACACACAAGCTGCCTCCTTGTCTTCCTCCACCCTTTGCTATTATGCCTGCAAGAAGCTGGATAGTGTGGGGCACTGAGACCGCTGACCCACCCGGCCTCACTGCTGCCTGGTGTTTCTCTGCAGGCCGCTCTGTCCATCCACAACCCTTGTCCTGTCCTTAACGGTGCCAGGAGAGGGGCTGTTCTGTTTATACAGCATGCTGGGCCACGGCTGGGGCGCCCTGGCACCATGGAGGGAGCAATAGTAACCGATTCCAGCACGAATCCCTCCGAGCCTGTATTCCCAGTAATCACAGGGCGAGACTCGACTCTGTCATCTCCTAGGTGCTTGCTGTGAGGTTTTTCTCAGTTTCTCATTTGTGCTCAACCCAGAGAATAAAGATACTTTTCACACCAGGGCAGCTGCCGACTCCTGCGGGGCCCAGATCAAGCGGAGGAGTGGCTGAGCCCAGAGAAGATGGTCACCAGCACTTTGGGGACCTGCTGCCATGGTGCTGGGCAAGCCCAGCTCTTGCTTACCGGGACTGCAGGCGAACATTACGGCAGTGTTGTCGGGAAGTGCCAGGTAGTGCGAGAAGCTGTCTTCCTCGGGCTGGGCGCTGTCTGTTTCCAGCCACACTCCCGAGTCAAGCGCTCCCCCACGGCAGGCCTGGGAAGGCAACCACTGCAGTCAGCCTCTGAGGGGGTTTGGCCCCCGTTGGGGCAGCCTGAGAAACCCCATCCACCCTCCCCTCATGCTCATATGCCCCCCAGTCTCCCGTCTCCCACAGGCCTGCAGCCCCCTCTGCTTCCACTCCCCACCCACACATAACCCCCTCCTCGAAGCGGCCTTCATGGAGCTCCCCTTCCTATAGGCTTGGGCCCCCCAGCTCCTTCCTAGGCAGTCCCCATCAGCCTGACATCTCCGCCCATCTCACTTTTGCTGCCCACATGTGGCTTAGAGACCCTGATGACTTCCCCATCGATAGACCTCTGGTCCCGTTCCTCTCCCTACCCCATCCTAGCAAGTGTAAGCCAGTGTCTGCCTTGCTCCCTTCCCCAGCTGACCCTCCTTGCAGGACAGGATCCCATTCCCACTGCTCTTCCCACCTAGGCAAGGCAGGAAGCCTACCCCCTTACACAGGAGGCTGGGAGCCCTTCCCAGCACATCTGGAGGTAAGCAACGATCCCTGAAAGACCGAGAAAGGTTGGGATTTGGGGTGGAAAATAACTGAAGGAGATCCAGCTTGGAAAATGTTACTGATCCCCTGCCATGCAGCTGGCTAAGCTTATCCTGAGCCATGGGCTGTTTTTTTCCCCAGAATGGGACAAGTAGGCCGTGAATGAGATTCACCAGTACCCCATCTTGGTTGGGTGCCTTGTGACTGAGTGTGCTGGCGCTCATGTGGGCAGTGTTTTAAGGCTGAGCTAAGGTCAGCCTGTCCTGGTTGTTCTGCTGAGGCCTGTTTGAACCGACTATAATCTAGACACTGGGTGAGCTACAAGAGAACAGAGGCTTTTGATTGTATCCCACAGATCACACAACACCCATGAGTGGTAGGTAACCTGGGTCATCCTTGAGCTGGAAAGGACCTGTTAAGTGTAAAGTGGTGTGATCTCTCCCTCTTCTGCCTCAACCCCTAAACCACGGGTTCTCAGCTTTTTCAGGTGTAAGGTTTCCTCTAAAAAAGTGCTCTTGGCTTGCACTTGTTTCTTTTCTATGGGAAAATAGCAGAGCTATTCTTCTGTTGAAAAGGATTCAGAAAGACCCTGACAGGTCAGAATGTTTTTGACACTCTGGATTCCTATTTGAAATCTCTGGGTTTATCTTGTGAATCACACACAGATGTTTGCACATCTAACTGTGCTAATATTGCCTGGCACCCTTAAGGGGATCTCATTGTAACCCCAGTTGAGAATTACTGCCCTAGATGCTTTCAGGTGCCCAGTGGTCATTTCCCAGCTGGCTCAGCCTTGTAGTGTGAAGGCAACCTTTTCTTTTGTAATCTATCTAGTCACCAGTGATTGACCCTGCAATGAATAATCTCTATGAAGGGATTTGTGAAATATAAACACTTGCTGAATCACTCTGAGCTTTGCAAAGTCTGTTTTGGGTGACAGTTCTTGTGGTGTTGATTCTGCTTCTTGATTTGTGGGGTGGAGTGCTCTGAAAAGAGGACAGGGGTGAATTGCTTGCTTGGGCACAGTCTCAGACAAAGCTGTCCCGTGTAGCGCAGGACTGCAAGTTTCCCTGGTACGTGTTTGCACATATCACAGGTGGCCGGAGTGCTTGCTGCTTTGGGTAGGGAGGGTTGGATCGTTCCATAGTAACACATTCAGGCGTGCGTGTGTGTGTGCACGCGCGCATGCGTGTGCTGCCTTTCTCATTCCTAGTTGTGCATCAGGAAGAATCTATGATCCCAAGGGCGTAGCACAGACTGAATCCAACAGGACTGGTTTCCATCTGCTACTAGTAGATGGGGTTTGGAGAAGGGCACTGAGAGCGATAAAGGCCTCGAAGAGACTGGGGATGTTTCTCTTAAGAAGAGGAGATGCAATAACTCATGCCTGGCTTGGAGAAGTGGCAGCAGGAGCGCTTCCTGTGCTGGCACTAAGACACAAACAAAGGGGAAGTCCCCTACAAGGCAGAAAATGCTTGTCATGCAGCACATCACTGCTGTGGAACTTGCTGCCACAAGAAAGTGTTGAGGTGAAGACCTGGGATCACAGGAATTGCATGACCAGTTGTAACAAATGGTGGCAGATAATGGAATGGACACTGAACCTTGCGCTTCAGGGTACAAGCCAATCTCTAACTATAGAGACCTAACGTGGTGGCATGAGGGGGAGAAGAGCAGCTCCTTCTCCTCTCCCTCTTTCCTGACTCTCCCATCTGCTGCTGTAGGGATCTTGCATCTCTCTGCAGCATCTGCTAAGGGCCCTGGGACTGCCTGGACCCTGGGGTTGACCCTGTAGGGTGGTACCTGTATAAAGAAGATCTTGGATTTTCCAGCCAGCGCTGAGGATCTCTGTGGGGATAAGGTCTGGAAAATCCGGGTCAGTTTGACTGGTTTGCCTTCCGAGCCATAGATGACCCCTTCCTCTCCATGGCTGGACAGGATGCTCACAAAGTAATCGCCATGCTCTTCTTGGCTCTCTGCAAAGGTACATTAGATTAGAGCACCAGTTCATCAGAGCAGACCTAGGAACAGGAGGGGCTTGGGTTGCCTATGTGGTACCCAGTGTGAGAAAGGATAGTCTGGTGGGTAAAACATTAGCTTCAGCCACGTAAGAGACCAGGTTTCAAGTCCCATCTCTTGATCTGCACCTTGGGAAAAGGAATCCGCAGCATACATACAGGCTGGGGAGTTCCCTTCTTGAAAGCACAGAGGCGGAAAGGGATCTCGGAATCATTATTGACTCCAAGATGAACATGAGCCGCCAATGCCAGACCGCAGCCAGCAAGGCCAGCCATACCTTGTCATGCATCCAAAGGCGCATCTCAAGCCGGTCCAGAGAGGTGATACCCCCCCTCTATGTGACTTTGGTCAGGCCGCAGTTGGAGTACTGCGTCCAGTACTGGGCGCCGCGCTTCAAAAGGGATGTGGCCAGCCTGGAGAGGGTTCAGAGGAGGGCCACCCGCTTGGTGAGAGGGCAGCAGGACAGGCCCTACGAGGAGAGACTGAGGGACCTGAACCTGTTCAGCCTCAGCAAAAGGAGGTGGAGGGGGGACCTGGTGGCTGCCTACAAGTGCATCAAGGGGGATCAACAGCAAATAGGCAGAGCTCTTTTCTCCCCAGCAC